CACCTCCCCATTTTTCTACGGGTTCATCAGAGTATATAGTTATATCAATAGGGGGAATGAAAAGAAATCTAAAACTCTCTTCAACCACCATTGTAACTCTATCAAGCCATCCTCAGAGACAGTCATAGAGGAATCAAAATTACCCTTAGGTCTTTTAGGAGCATCTTTTTTATCCATTTCAAGGTACCTATAATGAAGAGCCCCATACTGAACCCCAGGTAAGGAGGTGACTAGGCAACCAATAATCTTGGCTACCTGCTGGATAGGAATGTCTGCTGGATGTTACATTATGTGATATTATTAATAATGGGGTTAATATTTAATAAGTTGTTAGGAGGGTTTGGATTGATAAGTGGGCGTGAAGGACAGAGACTTGAAGTGAAAAGGTTGTAATTTGTGGGACTGAGTTTAGGGAATAAATATATAAATATACGTATATGTTACAAAGAGAATAAACTTGAAACACTGGACATTCAATAACATCAAACAAATTTTTTTAAATTTTTTCCTTTTTTCTCATTTGTAACTTGGATAGTCATTGTTATCAAGTTAATGGCAAATGAATGGCAATGGCAAATGTTTCAACTGTGTCAAGAGCATTTGTAGCACACTTAGCATATGTATCACCCTGCAGATAGAAGCCATCAATATACCCACTAATAATATGATTCATAGCTCTAAGCTTAGCCAGGGGTGGTTTCATAAGTTTATTATGTCAAGAACCTGATCATTTATTACAAGATCAAAGAAAGTTTTCACTATATTATATCATATGAAATAGGATTCATACGCATTTATTTAAATGTCATTAAAAGCTTATTCTGCAATGATCTACCAAATATAGTAGAAGAGGATGAAGATGGAGAAATTGAAATGTTTGCTGACGACACAACCATTTATGTGGTTGGACAAACAGTAGACATAGTATCGTTAAAGCTAAATAAGATTTTAAGTAAATTTTGGGACTGGTGCCTTAATAATTCTCTAACACCTCACCCAGGTAAGACAGAATTCATGATTATGGGAGGGAAATTATTTGTCGGGCCAGAGCAAGCTATAAAACTAGGAAATTCGATCATAAAACGAGTACGGTCGACAAGATGCTTAGGGATGGAGTTGGATGATGAATTGAAATGGTCCAAACACATGCTGGATTTAACAAAAGCATTTTCTCAGAAAATTAGTCTTTTGAAGTCCTTGTATTTCCTACCAAAGAAAGTTAGAGTTGATTTCTATTATAAGGTCATACTTCCGTCACTGACATATGGCATCGTTTTGTGGGGGTCATGTAGCAAAATTTTATTTGATGACCTTGAAAAATTGCATGTGAGGGCTGCTAAAATTATCTATTGCCTTGATTGGCACATGCCAACAAAAGATGTAATTACAGTTTACAAATGGAGAACATTAAAACAAATGCATCTTGAATCGCTGGCGAAACTGATTCAAAAAATTTAGTACCAAAATGTTCCAACAATTATGTCTGATCTGATAGTAAAACGTTCGCTCGAGTATAATTTAAGAGAAACGAATTTTCTAAGGCTACCGAGAGTGAGGACTGAAATAATGAAGAAGTCAATTACCTATAAGGGCTCAGTTTTATGGAATAACTTACAAAATGAGACGAGAGAAATAGAAAACAATAGGCTGTTCTCGCAGTCTGTAACTAATTTAGAATTAAGAGACTCAATGTTTTAATTGTAACTCTATCTCTTCATTTTTAGTATAAATAGTAACATTAAATTAGTAATATTATAGATATTGATATTGTATACTTATATCTATATATTCACGACCCTATCAGCTTCTGCTGTATCTTTAATTATATCAAAATAAATGCTTTAATTAACTAACTAAAAAATTGTCCATGTTGGCAAATCTCAAAAAACATTATTATTTAAATTATTTAAATATAAGTTACACTTGTCTCTCTTACAACAGAAACAGGAACACTTTAATGGGACGTAATTCAGCAAAGTCTCACAAATTATATAAACCATGCTGCATCTATTGTTTGCTTTAGTTAACTCAAACTTGCACTATTTTAGACAAGTATTTACTGTGTTTTATGCAGGAAATGTTTGTTCACACTAAATCTCATTAAAGGTAAGTGATGCTTCTGTCTCTTACAACAGCAACATGACCCTTGGGATGGGATACCAGTTTGGGAGAGAAATCAGAGAACAAATTTTCATATTTACAAAAGAAGGTAAGAGTCTCCAGCTCCCCGCCTGCTTCAGGGTAGCACAGAATGAAATAGGAATGCTTTTCCCTAATGAAGGTGAAAACCAATATTTTACAAATTTCGTAGTGAAATGCCACGCTCCATACCTCATGATCTTCTGGGACTTTTATTGTTGTCTTCAGATTTCCTTCCTTGGTGTATATTTGAACCGTCGTACGATCGTCTGTTGGTATTATGATTTCATTCTGCTGGGAAATACTCAATGAAAATGCCAACCTCGAGTCACGTTTAAACTTGTATTTCAATTGACACGTCTTGTCACAAACATACACATGAGGGTCTTTGTCTAGGATGATGATAATATCATCGTCTTTGCATATCGCGATCTTAACTCCCCAGGAATATTCGACTTTGAACTCGAGAAAATCCAATTTATGATTTGCTTTTACATTGTAATTCTCGTCCAATATCGTCAACATGAATACGCGACGTGAAATCACCACGTAAACATTGTTATTCATATCAACAGCAAGCGCCAGTAAAATATTACCTGCAAATTCAGGTATTTCAACCCGTTTGATTTTTCCTGCCTCATGGATAATCATGATGTGGTCACCAGACCCAGTACCAGGGACAGCAAGAACATCCCCCTGACTGTTCACAGCAGAGAAGTAGGGTCTTATTTCTTCATCAAGGAACTGTTCGTTTGGAGGATGTGGCAATTCCTTTCCCATAGACTTTCTTGTTGAAATTTCCTTCCAATTTCCTATTGGGTGAAAACTACGATCAGGAAGTTCAATCATGCAGGCGAACACCACAAACGAATACTTGCTGCTGAATTTCCTGACATATTGAAACAACACATAGTTGATTAACATAACCGACTTGACGTTCTCCGCTCGTTGGGTTTTATTCAACAACGATTTGACTCCACCGTTCAAATACACCGAGAATATCTCTTGAATGGCTGGTAAGCTATGAAGTTTTTTCAAAAACGACAAACACCCAGTGATTGCGGTCTCAGGACTATCGAGATGTTCCAGTATTTCTGAAACTATTCGTAGCTTCGCAGCAAGAATTCGATCTTCGATACTAAATGACTCATTCCAGAAAGCCTTGTCTGCTCTGTTGCGCGCTTTCTCGAATCTTTTTCTCGCAGTTTCAAACTTTCTTTCCGAGTTGATTTTGAGCTTTTTCATGGCGCGAGGAAGCTCTATTGCTTGGTTTAAGATACCAGACTGAATATCACTCGAAGGTTCCCCTGCTTCGTCCTGAGTTTCGTTCGCTTTCTGCTCAGGATTTGATTTATCAAGAGAATCACGGAGAAACTCCACTCCTTCTCCTAACGAATTATAACTGGCGAGTAAAGTTGATCTAGAAAGGCCATCGATTTTAGACTTGATATCATTTAACTCTCGTACGACAAACTTACGAATTTCTGCATCGGTTACATCGCCGTCTTTGAATTTGTCTGCCGTCGAGTCTCTGACCTTATTCCATAATAAACCAACTGTTGAACTGAGAATACTTGTCACAATTGAAGACATACCGAGTTTGTGTACTGAAGCACAGAATTAAGGCTAAATTTTGACTAAACACTGGTGAATATGCTCAAACACATTCAATCTTATGATTCCTAACGATGTTTTTATCTACGTTCTTCCGGGAACTTCGTCACATGAGAAACAGGCGAGATATGAAGGTTGTTGAAGTTTACAGTATAGAATTACCTTGCTTACATCGTCTACAATATATCTGGGAGCGATCTCGTATATAAATATCACAGTTGTATTTCACTTTAGTCTTATGTCACTGCACGAGCCAAGTTTTATAGGAAAAGTTATAGACACGAGCGAGATGAAATCATTGCGTGTTCGTAGTTGAACAAAACACAGTTTCAAGAAAACTAAGTTAGGGCTATAGGTATTTACAAAAGGTTATAAATTAGGCATATAAAAATTAACAATATATAGATACTTGACCTTACATTACCGAATTCATGAATTAGTCATGAAAACCAACAACAGTATTTGTGAAAAAATCTTGCAAGAAATTCGGACTAACAAACCGAAATCGCTTCTCTCGCCAGTACGCGTTTTTTATCTCTGAAATTTCTTTGTTTAACCTCACGTAGGCCAACTTAAACTCTTAAAATGCACATGGGAGGGCAGAAAGTATGATCGGTTATATGCGCCTTAACGCTGTACGATAGTCTTTATTTATCGCTGAACTATCAAACAAAACTAAAGATTAAAGAAATACGATAGAAATCACTGCAATTATTTTTAAAATCAAACCTGGGCGATAAATCAAGAAAGGAAAAGCATAAATAAATGTGCTAGGAGAGCTTGTTGCGCATGTCCGTGAATGAATAATAGCAGAATATGATCTAGTAGTTTAAATGTAATTTAGATTTAATGAGAAAGACTGATAGAAATAGGTTTCATTCACGGTAACTAAAGCACAATTGAAGTTTAACAGGAAAGTTTGCGCAACACGCTGATAACCCGCACCTGCCCGACTCCTTCCCGTCCGCCTGCAACTCGCATAACAATAAGATTTGTCAAAGCTTATTACCACGCAATTGCAAGACGTTTGCTTCTTGGGAAAAATGAATGATTTATATCGTTAATCGTATACTGTATAATTAAGGTAAACGACGATTATAATGTGCTTGGTGGATAACAATAGACGATTGTGGATGACGATGGACAATAATGGACAAAGATATAGATAGATGGGGTAAGGATACCCCGTGTTATTGCACGGTGGTGATGATGAGAAATGGTGATGATGAATCACTTCTATTTCTTACCAGTGCCAGTTGTGTGGTCTTGATTGGTTCCAGTGTTACGGATTTGCGTTGGTCGTCGTTGAGGGAGGAAACTGTGGTACCTGTAAATATTGAAGTCAGTGTGACCAGATCTGGTACATTTTCATGGATAACGATGGATCGTTACGTATAATTGAAGATGATGATCTTGTGCATCGATGGATAATAATTGACAATCAAGGACAATGATGGATGCGATGTAGAGTAATGAGGTAATGACTATTCATAATAATGATGGTGGTCATGAGATCACTCTTATTTCATACCTGAGTCTGTAGTGTGGTCTCGACTGGGTCCAGTCTTCCTGGATTGTCTCAATCTTCTCTTTGTTTGTCAACAGCAGCACTGTTTTTATCGCGGACCCAATGACAATATTTACCACGCGTAAAATCACAGTTATCTGCAAGGAATGAAAGAGTTGTACATCATCAGTTGAGTTAACTCTCACCAGAATAATTGCTTATCAAAATCTTGCGAGTAAACTCGTGTTATACCAGAACGTGGATAAAATAATTACAATACATCATTCGCTCTTCAAAATCAAAATCCAGCATGTCGACAGACAGGCATCAGATGTAATCTAACAAAATTTAAGTGTGTGTAGTTTGTGAAGTTTTTCTCTGCAGAGAGTTTCGACTGTCTCTTGAGGTGGTTAACTCAGCCAAGAGTTTGAGCTCGGCTCAAATGAACAAATGAATGAATAAACGAATGCAGTTAATATACCTGAGTTACACGAGCTGTTGATATCACAATTGTTTATCTCTTCACTCGCACTTGCAATAATTCACATCATTAGCAGAGGATGAATCTTAACCATTCCTGACTTGACGAATCGTGCAGTTGAAAATATGTTCATATCAGAGAGATGTCTGTATTGAAGAGGTGCATGTATTAAGACATGTTTACATTTGCAATTGTTGCTGCCATCTTCTTGTTTTCATAGATGTAAACGAGTAGATTTAGTTATGGTTGTTCAGATAAGAACACCTATAAATCATTGCATCATAACTATTCGCTCGTTCACATCAATCTAAAGACGAAAATCGCCACAAAAATCGGATGGTAATTGGACTTGTAAAAAATGCTTCAGAGAGGTGTTTGTAATTATTGTCTTGAAATGACACGCTTAATAAACTATGAACCCGTCACTTATGACTACTTGCTGCTGAATTTCCAAACAGTCGTGTTTTTTCAGGAAAGTTCACTTGAAAGAGATGCCGCACATATCTTTGTTATTCGAAACAAAAATCATTGTTTATTTGATTCATATCGAGAATCATTGGCATTGAATTTAAATCTCATCTCACATGAGATAAAATTGAAAATTAAACGAGACTTACCTGGAAGTTGAAATTTGATTTGGATTTTATTAGTCATCAGCCTGGAGTGTGAGAGTTGTACGAGAGAGAGTGCAGCGCATGCGCCAATCAGTGTTTAGAGCTTTACCAGACAAAGAACGCACGGACGTGGTGAGTGTGAGAGTGGACTGCAAGTAAGGGAATGGGAGAGAACAGGGGGGTGTACAAGTCTCACACTCCAGACCAAATCAAACTTTAATTTCCAGGTAAGTCTCGTTTAATTTTCAATTCTATTTCGTCATCAGCCAAAGTCATGTGACGTTGTACGAGATTTCAGAGCAATCAGTGAGGTCTTTGTCCTGCAAAGATACACAAACCACTCTAACTATAGCCAGCGTGATAAAACCAAGTGGAAAGATATCTGGATATATAGAGAAGTATATATATATTATTTTATTTATATTATATATATATTATATATATATATTATATATATATTATAATATATTTATATATTATATATATATATATATATATATATATATATATATATATATAGTGGTCAGTGGATTTAGGAAAGGTTGTCCGAAAATATATACATATATACAAATAGTTGTGACATGTGACCACATATTTCCATCACGTGTCATATCTAATTACGCATGCAAACGCTGCAAAATTGCTTCAAGGTTATTGTTTAGTTGGGATATTTTTGTTGTAAAATGCCTAAACCGTATTCAGACGATATAAGATGGGAGGTTGTGTGGCAGAATTTATTTTATAACAGGTCTTCAACCAGAGTTGCTGTCGATTTGTTTGTTTCGCCAAGGACAGTAGATCGCGTTTTCAACCTGTTCATTAATAGGGACCTTAAGCATGCAGGACGGCAACACGACGAGGACGCGGCTGAAATTCTCTTTTATATAAAAGCTATGGCTAAGTTGTTGTTTTATATTATTAATTGTACCAATTCAGTGAGATATAAGGCGTTAAAAACATTTTGTTTATGTTTATAAGGACAATTCTATAGAGCCTAATTCGAGGGAGGGCTCGCTGGGCCTGAAATGCAACCGTTCTAGGCAAGACGTAAAAAACGACGTTTTCCCGATGGGTCTTTAAATACTAATTTCTTTTCAATGACCCATTGTATTGATAGCCGTCGTCGTCGCGTTCGCGTTCTACATGCTTAAGGTCTCTAATACTGGTAACGTTACGTCGCCTCATAAGTTTGGCAGGCCTCTTTGTAGCACAACACTTTACCAGCATGAGGAACTGGCAATATGTAAAATAATTATCAGACATCCAAAGCTATACCTTAGGGAAATCGCCGATCAATTAGAAAACGCTGACATTCGGTGATAAACGGGCTCTCAGATAAAATAAATGAAGGTATATTTTACTAATAACCTGTTGTCACATTGTTTACGCTTTGCCAGCTATGGATTTAACGTAGCGTTCGCAGCATTTGCATGCGTAATTAGATATGACACATGATGGAAATATGTGGTCACATGTCACAACTATTTGTATATATGTATATATTTTCGGACAACCTTTCCTAGATCCACTATATATATATATAATATGGCAAGTTCGGAAAATAACGAAGATCTTTTTTCTTCATTGAGTTGACCTTCGTAGATTTCCAAACTTGCCACAGCCAATCAGAAATTTGCCGACGAATTCTCCGATGACGTTTGTCGAGTAAACTATATCCCGCCTCTGTTTCGCAAAATTTCAACGAAAATACACTTTTAATTCGCAAAATTTGAGCATTTTAGAGTTTTTTTCAAGTCTAAAAACGACAGATAAATATAGTCAATATATCCAAGGTGTTTTGTATGTAGTTTTTTTTTAAGAAACTAGCGTAGTATTTTTGTTTTAAGCGATGGTATTAATGTATGTATTATATTTTTTGTGAGAGAGTTGCCAGCCTTATTGTAATTATATACATATATAATAGCATGACGTAACAGCAGTGACCGGGCTGCCTGTGGTATCACCCTGCAGATGGAAGCCATCAATATACCCACTAATAATATGATTCATAGCTCTAAGCTTAGCCAGGGGTGGTTTCATAAGTTTATTATGTTAAGAACCTGATCATTTATTACAAGAGCAAAGAAAGTTTTCACTATATTATATCATATGAAATAGGATTCATACACTTTTAAATGTAATTAAAAGCTTATTGTCCATGTTGGCAAATGTCAAAAAACTTTATTATTTAAATTATTTAAATATAAGTTACACTTGTCTCTCTTACAACAGAAACAGGAACACTTTAATGGGACGTAATTCAGCAAAGTCTGACAAATTATATAAACCATGCTGCATCTATTGTTTGCTTTAGTTAACTCAAAGTTGCACTATTTCAGACAAGTATTTACTGTGTTTTATCCAGGAAATGTTTGTTCATACTAAATCTCATTAAGGTAAGTGATGCTCCTGTCTCTTAAAACAACAACAGGACCCTTGGGATGGGATACCAGTTTGGGAGGGAACTGATTTTCATTTTTACAAAAGAAGGTAAGAGTCTCCAGCTCCCCGCCTTCTTCGGGGTAGCGCAGAATGAAACAGGAATCCTTTTCCCTAACTCTGGTTAAAACCAATATTTTACAAATTTCGTAGTGAAATGCCACGCTGCATACCTTATGATCTTCTGGGACTTTTATTGTTGTCTTCAGATTTCCTTCATTGGTGTATATTTGAACCGCCGTATCATCGTCTGTTCGTATCATGATTTCATTCTGCTGGGAAATACTAAATGAAAATACAGCACTCGAGTCGCGTTTAAACTTGTATTTCAATTGACACGTCTTGTCACAAACATACACATGAGGGTCTTCGTGTTGGATGATGACAATATCATCGTCTTTGCATATCCCGATCTTAACTAGAAAAAAATATTTGTCCTCGAGAAAATCCAATTTATGATTTGCTTTTACATTGTAATTCTCGTCCAATATCGTCAACACGAATACTTCAACTGAATGTCTTCTCCCCACGTAAACATTGTTATTCATATCAACAGCAAGCGCCTTTAAAAAACTACCTGCAAATTCAGGTATTTCAACCCGTTTGATTTTTCCTGTCTCATGGATAATCATGATGTGGTCACTAAACCCAGTATAAGGGACAGTAAGAACATCCCCCTGACTGTTCACAGCAGAGCGGTAGGGTTTTATTTTTTCATCAAGGAACTGTTCGTAGGGGGGATGACGCAATTCCTTTCCCATAGACTTTCTTGAAGAAATTTCGAACCAATTAATTATTGGGTGAAAACTACGATCAGGAAGTTCAATCGTTGGCATGCAGGCGGACACTTCAAACGAATACTTGCTTCCGAATTTCCAAACATATTGAAACAGCACATAGTTGATTAACATAACCGACTTGACGTTCTCCACTCGTTGGGTTTTATTCAACAACGATTTGATTCCACCGTTCAAATACACCGAGAATATCTCTTGAATGGCTGATAAGCTATGTAGGGTCTCCAAAAACATCAAACACCCAGTGATTGCGGTCTCAGGACTATCGACATGTTCCAGTATTTCTGAAACTATTCGTAGCTTCGCGGCAAATATTCGATCTTCGATACTAAATGCCTCATTCCAGAAAGCAGTGGTTGCTGTCTCGCGCGCTTTCTCGAATCTTTTTCTCGCAGTTTCAAACTCTCTGTCCGAGTTGATTTTAAGCTTTTCAATGGCGCGAGGAAACTCTATTGCTTGGTTTAAGATACCAGACTGAATAACGCTCGAAGGTTCCCCTGGTTCGTCCTGAGTTTCGCTCGCTTTCTGCTCGGGATTTGATTTATCAAGAGAAACACTGAGTAACCCTACTCCTTCTTTTAGAAAATTATAACTGGCGAGTAAAGTTGATCTGGAAAGGCCATCGAATTTAGACTTGATATCATTTAACTCTCGTACGACAATCTTTCGAATTTCTGCATCGGTTACATCGCCGTCTTTGAGTTTGTCTGACGCCGAGTCTATGACCTTATTCCAAAATAAACCAACTGTTGAACTGAGAATACTTGTCACAATTGAAGACATACCGAGTTCTTTACCTGAAGGCAAAAATTAAGGCTAAATTTTGACTAAACTCTGGTGAATATGCTCAAACACATTCAATCATATGATTCCTAACAATGTTTTTATCTACGTTCTTCCGGGAACTTCATCACATGAGAAACAGGCGAGATATGAAGGTTGTTCAAGTTTACAGTATAGAATTACCTTGTTTACATCGTCTACAATATATCTGGGAGCGATCTCGTATATAAATATCCCAGCTGTATTTCACTTTAGTCTTATGTCACTGCACGAGCCAAGTTTTATAGGAAAAGTTATAGACACGAGCGAGATGAAATCATTGCGTGTTCGTAGTTGAACAAAACACAGTTTCAACAGAACTAAGTTAAGGCTATAGGTATTTACAAAAGTACATAAATTAGGCATATAAAAGTTAACAATATATATATACTTGACCTTACATTACCGAATTCATAAATTAGTCATGGCACCAACAACAGCATTTGTGAAAAATCTTGCAAGAAATTCGGACTAACAAACCGAAATCGCTTCTCTCGCCAGTACGCGTTTTTTCTCTCTAAAATTTCTTTGTTTAACCTCACGTAGGTCAACTTAAACTCTTAAAATGCACATGGGAGGGCAGAAAGTATGATCGGTTATATGCGCCTTAACGCTGTACGATAGTTTTTATTTATCGCTGAACTATCAAACAAAACTAAAGATTGAAGAAATACGATAAAATCGCTGCAATTATTTCTAAAATCAAACCTGGGCGATGAATCAAGAAAGGAAACGAATAAATAAATGTGATGGGAGAGCTTGTTGCGCATGTCCGTGAATGAATAATAGCAGAATATGATCTAGTAGTTTAAATGTAAGAAGACTGATAGAAATAGGTTTCATTCACGGTAACTAAAGCACAATTGAAGTTTAACAGGAAAGTTTCCACAACAAGCTGATAACCCGCACCTGCCCGACTCCTTCCCTTCCGCCTGCAACTCGCATTACAATAAGATTTGTCAAAGCTTATTACCACGCAATTGCAAGACGTTTGCTTTTTTGGGAAAAAATGAATTATTTATATCGTATACTGTATAATTAAGGTAAACGACGATGATTATGTGCTTGGTGGATAACAATAGACGATTGTGGATGCCGATGGACAATAATGGACAACGATATAGATAGATGGGGTAAGGATACCCTGTGTTATTGCACGGTGGTGATGATGAGAAATGGTGATGATGAATCACTCCTATTTCTTACCAGTGCAAGTTGTGTGGTCTTGATTGGTTCCAGTGTTACGGATTTGCGTTGGTCGTCGTTGAGGGAGGAAACTGTGGTACCTGTAAATATTGAAGTCAGTGTGACCAGATCTGGTACATTTTCATGGATAACGATGGATCGTTACGTATAATTGAAGATGATGATTTTGTGCATCGATGGATAACAACTGACAATCATGGACAATGATGGAAGCGATGTAGAGTAATGAGGTAATGACTATTCATAATAATGATGGTGGACATGAAATCACTCTTATTTCATACCTAAGTCTGTAGTGTGGTCTCGACTGGGTCCAGTCTTCCTGGATTGTCTCAATCTTCTCTTTGTTTGTCAATAGCAGCGCTGGTTTTTATCACGGACCCAATGACAATATTTACCACGCGTAAAATCACAGTTATCTACAAGGAATGAAAGAGTTGTACATCATCAGTTGAGTTAGCTCTCACCAGAATAATTGCTTATCAAAACCTTGCGAGTAAACTCGTGTTATACCAGAACATGGATAAAATAATTACAATACAACATTCGCTCTTCAAAATCAAAATGCAGCATGTCGACAGACAGGCATCAGATGTAATCTAACAAAATTGAAGTGTGTGTAGTTTGTGAAGTTTTTCTCTGCAGAGAGTTTCGACTGTCTCTTGAGGTTGTTAACTCAGCCAAGAGTTTGAGCTCGGCTCAAATGAACGAACGAATGAATGAATAAACGAATGCAGTAAATATACCTGAGTTACACGAACTGTTGATATCACAATTGTTTATCTCTTCACACGCACTTGCAATAATTCACATCATTAGCAGAGGATGAATCTTAACCATTCCTGACTTGAAGAATTGTGCAGTTGAAAATATGTTCATATCAGAGATGTCTGTATTGAAGAGGTGCATGTATTAAGACACGTTTACATTTGCAATTGTTGCTGCCATCTTCTTCTTTTGGTAGATGTAAACGAGTAGATTTAGTTATGGTAGTTCAGATAAGAACATCTATACATCATTACATCATAACTATTCGCTCGTTCACATCAATCAAAAGACGAAAACCGCACGAAAAATAGGATGGTAATTGGACTTGTAAACGTTGCTTCAGAGAGGTGTTTGTAAATAATGTATTGAAATGCCACGCTCAATAAACTATGAACCCGCCACTTATGGCTACTTGCTGCTGAATTTCCAAACAGTCGTGTTTTTTTCAGGAAAGTTCACTTGAAAGAGATGCCGAACATATCTTTGTTATTGGAAACAAAAATCATTGTTTATTTGATTCATATCGAGAATCATTGGCATTGAATTTAAATCTCATCTCACATGAGATAAAATTGAAAATTAAACGAGACTTACCTGAAAGTTGAAATTTGATTTGGATTGTATGAGTCATCAGCCTGGAGTGTGAGAGTTGTACGAGAGAGAGTGCAGCGCATGCGCCAATCAGTCTTTAGAGCTTTACCAGACAAAGACCGCACGGACGTGATGAGTGTGAGACTGGACTGCAAGTAAGGGAATGAGAGAGAACAGGGGGGGGGGGGCGTACAACTCTCACACTCCAGGTCAAATCAAATTTCAACTTCCAGATATGCATGTCTCGTTTAATTTTCAATTCTATCTCGTCAGCAACCAAATTCATGTGACGTTGCACGAGATTTCAGAGCAATCAGTGAGGTCTTTGTCCTGCAGAGAAACACAAACCACTCTAACTATAGCCAGCGTGATAAAACCAAGTGGAAAGATATCTCGATATATAGAGAAGTATATTATATATATAGTATATTATATATCCTAGGAACAATTAACGTTTGTATAGCACTCTAACACCGAAGCGCCAAAATTAAATTCCTCCTCGCTCGGTTTATTATAAAACCGTTGAAATGTCTGTTCATTCGACCATCCTGCGGATAACATAATATCCTGAATGTTACAGTTATTGGACGCTAAAAGGATGTAGTTGCTGCTCGAACACTATGACCTTTAAATTTGCTAACATCTAAACCTACAGCTACCAAAACAGACTTTATCCACCGAGATATAGTATCTTTGGAAACAGGTCCATACGGTTTCACATAACTCAGTAGCAATTGCTTTCTATCATGGCTATTTTGATCAGTTCTCTTGATATACTCTAAGAGATGAGTTACGACGCAAAGCTGAGGCTCAAATGGATATTTCAAAAACTCGAGGAGTTTGACATGAGTTCCGACACGTGTCTGTTTGACTTTCTCCATGACGTGGAAAGTGCACTTGTCCGCAACGAGAATCATGTTATCGACAGTGAGAAGATGAATGGTTTGACAGCGTTGTCCACTGAGTAAGGTCAAAAAGAAGGAAACTTTAACAGTAAGCTCCTTCAAAGTCAGCGCGGAAGGTATAGGCTGCATTCGAAAAAACTATAAGACCTTGCTAACATCCCATGTTTTCTGGTAACGCGGTAGAGCCGGGTGCAGTTCGAATACACCTTTCATAAAGTGCTAAACAATAGGTAGCTGTCCGAAAGTGACTTCACTATCACTTAACTGCAAAATAGAAGATAAAGCAAAGCTCGCCGAGTTGATTGAGCGATACGACAAACCCGAGTCAAACAGCGATGACAGAAAATCTAACGTCCGTGGTAAGGGAGGGGAGATGATATCACAGTGCTTCTTCATATAAAATTTTAACCATTTCTGCAGATGCACTTGGTACTGGGATTTAGTACTGTCTCTCCAAGAGGTTTCAATCATGTTAATGGTCTTAACGAGTAGCCAGGTTGTTGTAGTTGTTGCCTCAGAAATGACAAACCAAAAGTTTCAGCTTTTTCAAAGGGATGAGTTGTTTCCGATGATTTCCGACCCAGGTTCGGTAGTTTGTGACTGGGTTGTAGGAGCACAGTAGATAACCCCCCCCATATAGGGATCAAAGGGTGCCGACACAATAGGTTCACGTGAACAAAAATCACGATTCACGTGGACAAAGACCATGCGTTTGCACGTGGGCATGGGTCTTGGATCATGTGAACAAAGAAGTCATGATTCATGTGGACAATGACCATGAGGTACATGTGAACAGGGATCATAGATCATGTGGGATGGAGATTTTCCATCACGTGAATAGGAATCAATCATTGAACATGTGTACAGTAGGATGCATTTAGAGTGTAAATGAGATCATTTACAATTATTTTAATATGTTATAAAATTTAAAAGATAATTCACAAATTTCTTCTGCTTTTGCCTCGTTCACGGAGATCTACCCCAGCCAAGAAGCATTTTATAATTTTAATATAGTAGCTATAAACTTTTTTTTTTTTTAAAAGACCCCGACTATTCTTACATGGAATATTTCGGTTTACAAACACAAAAAATATAGTCCAAGAAATACTCCAAACATTTTGCTAAATTACTTCCTTTCTGCCGAGTATACGTCCATCAATTGCAAGTATGGCAGCGCGAATATTAGTTCAAATTCTGTTTTGTGGATTTGCGGTTCCTTAGCACATCATATGCTTCGCCAACTGCTTGCCAAAGCTTAGTTTTGTTCTCCTCTGCTTTTGCCTCATTTACGCAGATCCATCAACCAACCGATCTGGGCTCCTTTTGCTGATTTTTTCAATTTTAACTTCCTCTGTATGAATTTTATTATAATGTTAGCCATAATCTCATCTCTGGCTAAAGTTTTCACTATTGTTAAATCAGCACCGTACATTTGTTTAAATGAATGAGTCATTTTAGAATGAGTACATTGGTGCTTAAGAAATGTAAATCAAGAGATTTCGCTCGGTTGCACACATCAAGTCAGATCCTGTTTACACTGTACCCGATTCGCATGGTCACGACATCAGTTTAAGTTGTTTTACAGTATATTTGTCCCCCAGAACTTTTTTTTTTGTCAGATCATGCTAAAGTAACCATACTACCAAACGTTTGGAGGTGAAACTCCCGTTGACATGATTAATTTTGATGTCGTGACCATGCAAATCGGGACTAAGAGGCTACTTTTGGGATGTAAATTAGGCGCTTGAAAAATTAAATGCGTGGGAAGAGCACGTTGTGGATGTAAATGAGGCCGGCTAGCAAATTATATGCATGGAGAAAGCACGTTGTGGATGTAAATGAGGGGCGTGCGAAATTAGACAAACGTGGGTATGCTAAAGAGGAATGTGAGACCACATGAACAGAGTGTGCAAGTGGTGTGATTAACACGTCGTCTACGCAAATGAATAATCCTTGAAAGTAATATGGGTTACAATTTTGTGGAATGAGCCGATGAGCACATGCGTATAACTGCTCATAATTGCTCGTAACTGCTCATGAGAACATGCTCAACCGCTCGTAGACATTTTTAATACCAAACTATTAAGTAGTATTAATATCAGATTTGGGTAGATTTTGAAGGCAAAATGGGTTGCAATTTGGTGCAATGAGCGTATGAGCATGTGCTCATAACTGCTCATGGACACATCCTCATAGCTGCTCATAGCCGCTCATAGCTGCTCATAGCTGCTCATAGCTGCTCATAGCTGCTCATAATTTATTAGTTGCTCATAGCTGCTCATAGCTGCTCATAGCTGCTCATAGCTGCTCATAATTTATTAGTTGCTCATAGCTGCTCATAGCTGCTCATAGCTGCTCATAGCTGCTCATAGCTGCTCATAGCTGCTCATAATTTATTAGTTGCTCATAGCTGCTCATAGCTGCTCATAATTTATTAGTTGCTCATAGCTGCTCATAATTTATTAGTTGCTCATAGCTGCTCATACTGGTTGAACGAAATAACAAAGACAATCATTGGAATAACGATTTTAACATTTATTTTTCTGGTATAATAATTTCTTCTAAATCGTTTTTTATCTCTTTTTGTTCGTTTTTCATGGTTTCTTAATAAGAATGGTTTAGAAAATCATTATTTCTAATCATCATCATCGCTATCTGTATTTTCTTCTTCATCCTGAACCTGGTGATTGTTTAAAAGCCTTTTAATAAGAAACTTTCTCTTATCAACAGCAGCTTCTATTGCCTCTTCTGGATCAAAATCGTCATTTTCAACAAACGCATCTTTTGTGTGCATTATTTTCTTATGTACTGGATCTTTCTTTAGTTGTCTCATCCACAGAAGGCGTTCCAAATAAATATTTTCCAATTCTTTCTGGAGTATAGGCATAATATTCGAGTAAGCTTTCTCCTTAGCAGATTGCTCATCCAGGCCAGTGTTTATAAGGCTTTCTTTCATTTCTTCAAAATCTGTATTACTTTTTTGCTTTGCTTCTTCTATTAGGGGTATCCATGGATCCATTTTTTCTTCAGTTTCTGAGTCAGTCGTCATCGAACTTTCAGACTTTACAGATGAAGTGGTCGAGACATCGTCCTGCAAATCCCTTTCTTGACTGTCCGAGTCTCTTCGAGACATGCCTCTTTCTTGCTGTTTTAAT